CGTTTGGTCAGATCATCTGAGATCACTCTAAGATGTTTGTACGTTTGGTCAGATCATCTGAGATCACTCTAAGATGTTTGTACGTTTGGTCAAATCATCTGAGATCACTCTAAGATGTTTGTACGTTTGGTCAGATCATCTGAGATCACTCTAAGATGTTTGTACGTTTGGTCAGATCATCTGAGATCACTCTAAGAATCTTTCCTAGTTAATATCACACAGATGTCGTTTACGAAAATGTTATTCACATACTGTGAACTATTTGTTCAGAGCTCTGTCACATAAGACAGAGATATATGCAAATCACTGTGAAAGTTAAAATGACAAGAAGCAGTAGATTTATTGGTATTGGACAGATGGCGCTAAAATTAATAAGTTTAGAACTGTGTAAAAATTAAATGCTTACATAAACACAAAAACAACGTCAAAACAATATACATTCTCTTACATATGTAATGACAAACAACTTACTAGATTATAACCCTGGAGACATAGCCTATGTATTCTTTTATATGTTAATATTTTCACCCTGCCACATGTGGGCTAAGCGACCAGATCACAGACCCAAAGATTGAAATATATCAGTCCCTAATTTAGAACTACAAGCGAGAATGGGTGTAACCATTCAGTGGCACCCGTCTCCAGCATGGCTACTCTCAAAGGAATAGCCAAATTGACAGTCACTGTTATAATGCACCTTCAGCTGAAAGTGCAGAAAATTTTAGTGGCATATAGCAGGGTCAAACCTAGGACCTTCCAATTCGCATCCTGACATGTTAATTAGTAGACCTTGTCCGGTTCCGTATTATTTAATAAGTACAACTCAAGGCCTTTTTAATGTGATGAATGCTTTGGTTCAATGGTAAATTAAGTCTATTTAAAGATCACGCGACAACTATGTTTCTAATCATAAAAGAATAATATCATTCAACACGTATTTATGTGAAGTATTTGGTTAAAGGTATATACCTGCTGTTTATGACACTATAGGTTCTAGGCCCAGTATTGTTCTTCACTAAATACATATAGATACATATTTGGATTATATTCACTCAGTTTCTTAAAATGATCGTTTTAAGAAATATAACCGCTTGGCATGAAAATGTTATCACAACGGTTTTTTTTTTAGATAACTTTGCAACTTTGATATTAAACTGGAGTATTTTTGTATTTTATTAGAAATACTTTAAAACAGTGACATCAAGATGAACACGAGAGTACTTAATGTCTACCTCAATGTGTTATTTTATTTATAATTTATATACACGGATGCATTTTGCTACAGAAGTAAATGAAATATTGCTTAAAAATCGCTGGTAGCTCTACTTAAACCTTGAAGAAATTGTAAAAAACTGAAGTTTGGAAACTCTTATCACCAACTTATGTAAACTCCTGAAAAGTAGATTGAAATATTTAGTTATATAGAACTTAATGGGCTCGCTTTTCATAAATAACTTTAAAAACTGATATTAAGGACATACATTGCCTATATCAAATTTAAATGAAACTTGGTACAAATACAGTGATAGAAGTAATGTATCACTTAAGATGTATTATAGCCTTATCATATTATGTAATTATAAAACGTTATAGATATAATAAGTAATCAAATATTATTCATGGGCTTATATGGTAATGGATGGAGGCTCCTATGCCATCATATTTCATTATGGCGGCTCGTCCAACACTATAGGTTGCTCGTGCCTTTTTCCAACAAACATTGGCTTAGTGTAATCTTCTAAATACTCAAATTAATCTCCAGTATCGTCAGCATAGCCTCATTCTTTATCAGCTACATCAAGTACATACTATACGCGTAATGTTGGAAATACAATGGATCAGACTAGTTATCATGAAGATTAAGTACCATTAACAGATGTAACTTGAGCATGGCATCTTACTGTCCTTACCACATGATGCCGAATATACCTACAATGCACTTTTAATGCCAGAAACAGTGATTGAATTTCAGTCCGTAGTAAAATATTGTCGTGCTCGTGATGAAACATAATCTAACTACCGTTTTATGAGACATGTTCCTCAGTTTATATTTTCACCCGTTGGAACTGATAAGTCCCAAAGCTTTAATCCTTGAAAAATACAAGAAGGTCAAGTCATGTAGCATATTTTGTACGCAAACCTTTTGGTTTGGACAAAAACGCTGCTTTATGAATGAAGCACTCCCCAAAATGGATGTACTCGCTATTTCCACACTGCTTTGAACCTTAAAAGTTTAAGCATACAAAGCCCTTGGTAGGACATGAAATGGATATATTCCACAAACTAGCTTTTGATATAAAATATTTCCTGTTAATATCATTTCCGCCTCCCTCAAAGGATCATTCCAAGCCAAATTATCATTAACGTGATGTGCAACTTCTTTTTTTTTTTCATCTTATTAATTATGACAGGTACATGTTCGATATTACCTACAGCTACTGAAACCACATATCTATCTCATTTTGTTTGTTGCGACTTGGTGGACTTTTCCAGATTCTTATTGATGCCTATCGTTTGTTAATAGACCAATTCAAGATTTAGCGGCTTAAGAACGTATTTATTTTCTTTGCGAAATTCATTCATTTGTTATTTGCTTTTAGCATGTGGATTCCATATAACTGAAAAAGAAACGCAGAACTGAAGGTTATAAGAATTGTTTTTCAAAAGGCAGGTTCGCTTTCACGTATATTTTTGTGTTGATACCGATATGTATCCAATTAATCAAACAGCAATTTAATGGCATTTATAAATAATAATATTTCTACAAAATAAATTGTAACATATGATTTTATTACATAATTCGAATACTCACCACTGCTTGAAAAGATATGCGTTATAAGACACAAATCACAATAACATTTGTTGAAGGCCAGGTGGTTACATGTTTTACATTCGACTCGCAATCTGAGGGTTGCGGTTCGAATCCCCGTCCCGCCAAACATGCTCGCCCTTTCAGCCGTGGGGGCGTTATAATGTGACGGTCAATCCCACTATTCGTTGGTAAAAGAGTAGCCCAAGAGTTGACTGTGGGTGGTGATGACTAGCTGCCTTCCCTCTAGTCTTACACTGCTAAATTAGGGACGGCTAGCGCAGATAGCCCTCGTGTAGCTTTGCGCGGAATTCAAAACAAACCTTTGTTGAAATACTAAGACATTTGATCCTTTTCAGAGAAATTAAGAACCTAGATAAACGGCTCTGGAACGTTAATTGAAAGAGGTAGAGAACAGACGTAGAAATTTCACTACATTTACAGTTGTTTTGCAACTGAAATGATATTCTGTTCTATCGTATGCATATCAACGACTGGTGACAAGTGAAAATAAAAGGCTCCATATTAGAATGAACGAATGCAGGGAAACATCGCATTCCCATTCTTAAGGTATGTTTTCCCAATATTTTGGCAATACCACCTGCTAGACCCCCGGAAGTAGCATCACGCATAAAGTTACTACTTTTAAAGGTGTTAATATATATTCTGTTATCAAAGGACATTCAAGGAACAAAAAATAAACAACTTCGCCCTGTCATTCACTTTTCTAATAGTTTTATGCAATGCTTGCAATATACAAATAGACCAAAGTATTTAAAATAAATATTAACTACTGATTATATGCCGCTGAAATTCCTCTTTTAATAACTACTGTTATATCTATGAAAATTTACATGGCTTTTCTTAATCAAATGGTATGCACGCATTATGTTTTACTAAAACTTCAAGTTCTCATTTTGTAATTTTAAATGCTATCATTGTTATGCATTTCTTTAATACTTAAAAATCACCTTACCGTTGCACGAGCTATCATTTGATTAATTGCGTTTTCTACAACACTGGGTTATTATTTTAAAACAGAAACTTTAAACTATAAGTAACTTTACAGACGTTCGTAAAATTGAATTTAAAAATAACAAGGAAAGTAAATGATTTTCATCTAAGTATCGTAGTTGTAGAGTTCAATAGAAACTCAAAAAAGTAATATAATTGTCTTTTTGGTACCTCAACATCTTAGTTTTAATATGTCAAATAAAGTAGCCTTAATTTCTACGACAATCAGATTTGTCAAACACAGAAAATAAAATCTTACTTCGTCTTCTGGGACCACCAAACTGTCAGTAAATGCCCATTAGGTTTACTACTCCAATTTATTGTCTTTCCAACGGCGTCTTCTCGAAAAAAATATGTTTCAACTTGGTGATTGGTCAAGCCTGACATGACGTTTCGATTGCGTTAGTAACCAGAGAGGGTGATTTCACCACAAAATGCCGCGGTTCATAAAACACTCAGCTAGAGAGGAGCTGGTAACTGAAACGTACGGAGAGACAGAGGAAATTCCTGTTCAGCTTCCAGTCTTCTTTCTCCAAAATTTTGCGAGATAATATATCAAACATCTTTTGAAAACTTCGATTTTGTGAGTTTCTCCTCTATCGAGAACTCGACGTTTTTTTTTTGTTAACTAGCATGCTTGACTTGAAATCTGAATTAAATTAGTATTCAGTACTTCCACACATCAAACAACAAAGCAAACACTCTGCCATGTATTCCCTTAACAAATCATTCGTATCTATGATTTGCAGTCTTGTGATAACAGTATTCTTTACAGAAAATCACATCATGATGACAACTTCAGAAGGTAAGTTTGTTTTATTTATATAATTTTATTACTGGTCGAAAATCTATATATATACGCTACAATTACCAGCCTACGTTCTGTTAAACGGAGGAAAATGTACTTGTTTTAATATTTATTAGCTCTGGGTTGTCATGAAAAATTTAACGTACATACTAATTTGTATATTTATTCCTACCATTTGGCGTTAAAAGTACACATGCACATATATTTTAAGGCTGTTCAACCATAGATTGTTCCATATGCTATATTACAATTACAAGTTATACCTACTCTATCTCTTTATTTATACATCCAATTTACCCAAGATAATTTCTACTCTTTGTTTAGCATGGTATTTGTATTTTACTTTCTCTACACTATCTTGCCGATGTAAATCCCTTTCCAGGAATACTTTAACTCTGTTGTTGTTGTTGTTTTCTTTTGTTAAAGTTACCTTTTTTTCATTTTAGAAAATATAGGTGAAAGGTCTATCATTAGAGAGCTCACTTTTAAACATGTGGCCGGACATGGCAAGTGGTTAGCATATCGGATAGTGTTTGTTTGTAATTAAGCACAAAGCTACACAATGGGCCATCTGTGCTCTGCCCACTACGGGTATCGAAACCAGGATTCCAGCGTTGTAAGTCCGCAGACATTCCGCTGTGCAACTAGGGGACATCGGATAGTGAATCCGACGATAATGTTTGCTTTGGTGCGTTATAAAAGTGAAAGTAAATCCCACTATTCAATTAGAGTTGTCCTCGTTAGTTGCTATTGTCGAAATGCCTTTCTTTCTTCTAATATGTTAATTGAAAATTTGGAACAGCCCTAGTGTAGCTTTGCACGAATATCCGAAATAAAAGAATCATTTAAACATTCACAAATTGATAAGAATAATTTGGAAAATAGACAAAGAATAAAACTGAAAAGGTATAAATAAAATTACTAGTGAAAATAAACCTGATAAAAGGACTGATTGTCCACTTAAGGTGGGTCCTTCCTTCAACAAAGATGAAATGAAAAAAAAAAGGTCCGTCTCTAGATGAGGCTCGTATTTCTGTTTTTCCGTCACGTTTTAACTATTTTTGGAATTTTGTGTTCTCTTGAACAACAATAAAAGTAAACAAATATAAATCTTCCTAAACAAAACGAAAAAATACAGCATCATACCATACTCGTATGCCAAATTAGTTCTGTGAACAAAAGAACAGAAATTATATATATAATTACTGTGCTCCACTTGAGGGTTAATGACTCAATGAATATTGCCCTCAAGGGCTCAGTGATAAGTAGCACGGCTTACAATGCTAAAATTCTGGTTTCGACACCTGCGGTGGGCAGAGAACGGTCTATTGTACAACTCCGCGTTTAAGAACAAACAAACAAACGATGAATGTTGATTGAGATTATTGCACAACGGTGTTATTTTGATTTATTTGAACTTACTTATGGTATTATATGTTTAATATAAAAACAGTGACAAGTTAACATGGTAAGAAACAGTAACATCGTGTTATATTGCATTAAAGCTTTCTTATTAGGTTTGTCAAAATACACTAATTACTTTCTAATCTGTTGTATTTTAGTTTTATCCTACTTCTGCTGATGAAACTGATCATCAGCGTGGTTATTTTAAAACTTTTTTGAGGAATAAGCATGTTATTATTAATTATTCTTGTGTGTCTGTGTGTGTGTGGGGGGGGGGGTTTATAGCATAGCCACATCAGGCTATCTGCTGTGTCCACCGAGGGGAATCGAACCCCTGATACTAGCGTTGTAAATCCGGAGACTTATCGGGGACGATCTTGTGCACTAATAATATATAACTCAGCTGTATCTTTAATACGCTTCCGTGAAATATAGGTAAGACCTCAGGTAATGAGATCTGGACAGCATATTTTACAAATACATCCAGCCTGATCCACGTGACAATTAAATTCCATGACCTTCGTGGAATGTACTCAAGGTCAAAGGAAAGCTCTATTCTGTTTCTCATGACTTGTAAAATATTTTAGTGTACCAGAACTTGTGTGCTTCTTTCACAATATATTGTGTAAGTTATTCATAAGGATTGCCCCAAAAGTGTGATATGGTATTTCAATTTCATTTTTGTTTCAGTGCTTTCTAACACACGCATATATATTTATGTAAGTTTTTCATTTTTATAGTAATTTCACCTCAAGAACTCAAAGTACTTTTTTTAAAAGTATAACACATTTTAAATAATAGGAATTGTCGTACAACATCGACACGCTATGATGTATTTATTCAATAACTTATTACGGAAAGTAACTATATACTTCTTTCAGACATCATTTGTGGTAGTTTTTAAAGTGAATCCCAGATTATTTCATCGCATCTGATCCACATATGATGTTAGACTGTCTTAACATCTTTGGAAAACCGATCGTTTATTTTTGAGTCATTTTTAATTTATTTTTTTCTCTGTTGTTACCTTTTTCTGCCACACTTATTGTTAAACACTTTTCTGTAATGAAACGAAACTAGAAAGATAAAAACCTTATAAGAGGTTAGCCTCTTTACTGATATGATGCATCATCCACAAGTGCAACCTTTAAAAAAACTGGTGCAACTTTATTGTAGTAATGCAGGAAATATAAATGTAGTCTCTATATCGAAGTGGTGAAATTTTTACAAGAGTAGTCCCTTTATCGAACTAACGCAGCAAGTACAAAAATAGCCTCCATACCGAACTGGTACAACTTCTACATGGGTAGCTCCTTTGTTAAATCAATGTAACATGTACCAGAGTATCTATACCGACCAGTTTTGGAGAATGGAGATAACCTTCCTTGTTAAATCAATGTAGCACGTACCAGGGTAGCATCTATACCGACCAGTTCTTGGGAATAGAGATAACCTTCCTTGTTAAATCAATGTAACACGTACCAGGGTAGCATCTATACCGACCAGTTCTTGGGAATAGAGATAACCTTCCTTGTTAAATCAATGAAACACGTACCAGGGTAGCATCTATACCGACCAGTTTTGAAGAATGGAGATAACCTTCCTTGTTAAATCAATGTAGCACGTACCAGGGTAGTATCTATACCGACCAGTTGTTGGGAATAGAGATAACCTTCCTTGTTAAATCACTGTAGCACGTACCAGGGTAGCATCTATACCGACTAGTTATTGGGAATAGAGATAACCTTCCTTGTTAAATCACTGTAGCACGTACCAGGGTAGCATCTATACCGACTAGTTGTTGGGAATAGAGATAACCTTCTTTGTTAAATCACTGTAGCACGTACCAGAGTAGCATCTATACCGACCAGTTGTTGGGAATAGAGATAACCCACCTATTTCTATCCTCAATATAATAAGAAATATAACGATTTGTTTTACTTATGTTAAAGATATTTTCCTTGAACTGAAATTCTAGGACAAACGAACACTAACATATATAGTACAATTTACTTACTTTGTAAAATTGACCTTTTTTTTGGGTTTCACCCTATATTTGTCTTGTGGGGGGGGGGGTGTACATCACATACAAACAAGTACATTTTATTTGAAAGTAACTTAAGAGCCACTATCTGCTAACAAGATTTGAAATTTACTGAAAACTTGTTTTGAACCGAGAATAAATCCATAATGCAATTAATCATGCGTTATTTGAAGTATTGCAATACTTTTAAGGCAAAAACAGTAAAAAATAATTTTGCTTTACTAGTAATTTCAAGAGTTTCATGTTTTGTGAGAATTTAACCAGTCGTCGCCGAAAACGTGTGATGACTAAGACACATACATATGAATTAAGTGGATGAAAGTTCTCGTGGGGTCTGGCATGGTCTGCTGATTAGAATGCTCGACTTGCAATCTGCAGGTGGCGGGAACGAAATCCATCGCTGAGTATGCTTGCTCTTCTAGCCGTGTGGACAATATAATGTAACAGTCAATCTCACTATTCGTTGTTGAAGATAATTTCAAGAGTTGGCGATGAGTGGTGTTGACTAGCTGCCTTCCCTCTGCTTTATCAGTTCTAAATCAGGGACGGCTAACTCAGGTAGCCCTCGAGTAGCCTCGCGCGAAATATAATCAACATACAAATAGGTATTATGTAAACATTCATTGTGGTAACAAGGCAGTACAATTTGTTTTCGTAAGACGATTTGGCGGTTAGTGCCTGAGAGTTTGTTTGCTGTTGGTAAGCACAAAGCTACACAATGGATCATCTGTGCTGTGCCCACCACGGGTATCAAAACTCGGTTTTTAGCGTTATAAGCCTTCAGCCTTACCGAGGACGTGGCGAAAAGAAGGTTGAAAGTTATAGTCATGACTTTCCAACGGGAAAGGGAAAACAACTTTTTTGCATGTTTGTTTCTGTTATTATTATCATTATTATTATCTCTGACACCTTTTATAACATCCTTATTTTAGATGAGGTAAGATTTAGTAAATCATATCTAGCGTCCCAATTCATCCTGGTGTTTCTGCGGTAAATCTGAAAGCTTATAACACTAAATTCTGGTTTAGATACCTGAGGTGGTCACAGCACAGATAACTCATTGTTCAACACTGTACTTAACAACAAAAAAGAAACAGAATAAACTGAAAAGATAAAGAACTAATTACTTTGATACATAGACAATTAAGAAAATTATGATATCTTATAAATGTGAATTTCACAATTGTGCACGTTTGCACAAACAACTCCAGGTGGCGATAGAAACCTATGTTTTTACACGTGCTCTCTTGGTTTTCAAAACAAAATCCCTCACAGTTTGTATTCTATAAGAATCAGGGGAAAAAATGGTAAATTTTGAGATTTAATTGTGGGCTTTCTGTCTGTAAATTTTCTCTGTTTCGAAGCTAGAATTTATTCAAAAGGCTAGCGTACCGGAATGTGTGTTTGAGGTTCCTTGGCTGACATCCCCTTACCGTCATACAAAGAATTAGTGTTCCGTACATTGTGGCCATAGGTGCATTATAAGGGTGACGGTCAAATCCGATTATTTGGTTTGATAAGAGTAGCCCAAGAATTTATATTGGATGGT